GGCAGTACGTGCGGCCCGGGGGGAGGCGGACCGCTCACCCATCCCACCACCATACGGGGGATGTGAAGACCCTGTGAGCCGGACGGGGTGGGCACAGGGGGGCCACCAAATGGCATCCCGCACCCAAGTCGTGGCCGTCATGGGCTTATTCTTGGGATGAGGCGCCAATCGGCCTCTCGGATGGGCACCATACGCCCGTCCACAACCAAAGGAAGGGCACCATTTGCCTTCCGCATTTCTTTGGCAATTGATTGCAACACTCATGGACCTTTTTTCATTTGATACTTCAACCTCTCTCCGAGTATGACGTAATTGTGCTGCCTCCCCCCACCACCACCCCCTCTTTCCTGCGAAAGTGGCGACGGTTTTGATTGTTTCATAGGGCGCAGCCCCCCAGGGATGCCGAAGTCGAATCTAACTCCGCGTATGGCATCATTGTGTTGCCCCCCAGCAGTCTTCGAATTGGTCTGCATTTTCGCATTTCGCAGCCCGCCAGCGACGCCGAGGTTCCGCTCTGATCAGAATAAACATCACTCCGCTGAACACTCCAAGCGGTCACCGAAAGTGACGACCTTTTCACAGTGCGCAGCCCCCCAGCGACGCCGACGTCCTTTTCTAATCTGCGTGAGACGTGGTTCCGCTGGACCCCATCCGCCCTCGACAGCGGCGACCGTCCCGCAGTGCGCAGCCCCCCAAAGATTGGGAGGTCCCGCTCTGATCTGCGTAAGACGTCACTCCGCTGGGCCCCCCGGCAGCCATCGACAGTGGCGACAGTTTCGCAGACCGCAGCGAACCCTTGGAACAGCGAGGTCGGAGGCAAGTACGGGAACGGTACGAGACGAGAAGAGAGAGAGAGAGAGAGAGAGAGAAAAAAAAACGAGAGAGAGAGAGAGCTATATCTGTATATATATAGAGAGAGCACGAAAGAAAGAGAGAGAGAGAGAGAGAGAGAAAAAAACAAATACAGAGAGAGAGAGAGAGATAATGACAGAGAGCGAGAGGGAGAACAGGGAGGGAGGCGGGAAGGAAAGAAGGACGCGACCAGAGCGCTATATTCAAAACGAGAACCCAACAACGGAGGGGTGGGAATAAGCAGCAATGGTGAAGTTGTCAGCGAAAACGTCGCAAGCTGTCTCGCTCAATCCCACCCGCCCTTCCACTGTACAAGTAGCACCCAGGTCTTAGCATAGGCAGAGACCTCTAACGACAACCATCGGGGAGCCATGCAGACGCCAACCAGGTGTGCGAAACCCGCGAGGTGCGCCGCACAAGCCAGGTGCGCCATTGCGCACCAGGTGCGCCACATTGGGCAATTTTTCGACCCCGCAAACATCGCTTTCACTGACCAGTGCGAAGTTACGGCGGGGGTGCCAGAATTGTCTATTATATGTGGGTCGCATCCGCAATCGCATGTGCTTTTGCAAAAGGTTGTCGGCCTGCACACAGCGGGCAAGCGTACCGCACCCCCACCATCCCTGGCAAGGTGAACCTGGCATGTGTTGTTCAAAGGGATGGTGGACTTGTAAAGCAGGCCATATGCCGCCCCCCCTTAACCGTACCGTCCACAAGCCAATGAAATGTGATCGCATGGCGGCCGCGCATGATCCAGATTTGGGTTAAGTTTCGGCATTGCTCTTTGCACGGGATGGTTGGGGGGCTTGGCATTGTACACGCCAGGCGATACGCCGGTCCCTGCGCCATGCCTGTCAAACACCAATGCAAGGTGATCATGGGGCGTCCGCACATGATTCAGATTTTGGTGCAATATGCAATGTGTTGTTTGGTTTTGCCGGGAACGGATGGGGGGTGTTGGTATCATCGCACACATCAGGCAATATGCCGGCACCCCCGCCGTCCCTGTCAACAGCCAATGCAAAGTGATCATGGGGCGTCCGCGCATGATCCAGATTTTGGTGCAAAGTGCACTTTGAATTGTTTTCCGCTTGGCATGTTGGGGTGGTGCTCGGTCATGCTTCCAGGTTTGTCGCGGGTCGGGTGGGGGAGGGTAAGTGAGGAGCAGTGATAAATCCTTACTCGAATGGGAGAAGCAGGTGTTGGAAGCAAGGAAAACGTGCTTGCTAGACCGCCTTTGTCCAGAGGGCTCACCCCTCCCCTTCGCCCACCCCGAGAATAGGAGAAGGATGAGGAAGAGCAGGCGGAAGATCGACTCGCAAACACATTGGATTCTACATAAAGAGTCGGAGGTCTGCCCGGATTTCTTGGGTCGGAGGTGGACACTCACTGGCGACGCCTCTGGAGCCGCCCTGGGGGTCAATCGCCAACCTCGGAGATCCAGGCGGACTACCGAAGTTCATGCTTGTTCCGCTTCAACATGGAGGGTGTGTACCCTCCCTCCCCCATCCCCGTCTCTTCTCCCATTGCGAAAGCTCGCCATCACTGTGGATTCGGCTGCCTCCAAGGACGTCCGAGAACGCCCGCGTGGGGCTGCGCGTCGGTCCTTCTCCACGGGTCGGCCGGGCCGAAAGCCACGGGGTGGCATCAGGGGGTTCGCCGGGGCCAGTTGCTCAGGGGGGGGTCAACGCTGGGAGCGCCTGGTGGGCACATCTGGCGGGGTGTTCCCTGGCGCGCTTTTCGTCAGGGCATGCCGGGAACATGCTGGGGGGCCCAAGAGATCCGATGTGTATACTGTACTTATGTCCCATGCAGGGTCGCTAGAAGTCCCGACCATTCTCCAAGGGCCAGTTTTACATCCTGAGTGGTTGATTGACAGTCCTGGGTCCCGGTGAGGCCCCCAGAGGCCGACCACGAGAAAGAACCCGTGTTGAATTTGTCTGTACGTTGGACGTCTGGGAGTGCGAATGCCCCGGGGTGCTGGGCTGCGCGCTAGGAGTGCGCTCTGAGCGCTCGGGGAGCACGCCAGAAGCGGCACAAGGCGAGCAGGGGATTAAGGAGCAGAGGGAATGAGCAGGAAGAGGAGGATGGAGGAGGAGGAGGAGGAGGAGGAGGAGGAGGAGGAGGAGGAGATTGAGGAGGAGGAGGAGGAGGAGGAGGAGGAGGAGGAGGGAGAGGAGGAGGAGGAGGAGGGCGGCGAAGGAGGAGGGCGGAGAAGGAGGAGGCGTTCGGAGGAGCAGGGCGGAGGGGGGCGGCGGAAGCGGAGGCGGAGGAGGGCGGATGAGGCCGGGGGAGGGAGGTGGAGGAGGAGGGACCAGTTGACTGTGACCCACTGGGTAGGTTCCCGCGAAAACCGTGGCGCTCCTCCCTTCTGCGAGCGCCTCCACCACATGGGCCCTGTGGGCCTTCGCAGCGGGCCTTCACTGCCAGGGAGGCCCTCGCAGATGTGCGCCCTGTGGGCGCTGCATCTGGGCTTCGCGGATGCACGCGCATGCGGGCAGGGGCGGAGTGCCTGTAGGCCACAGGCACGGAGAGGGGGTGGCAGGAGGAGGGGCCTCGATGGCCGCCCACGCTGCGCCTCTCTCGGCAAGCCCCCAAGGCGCGGCCTTGGCCCTGGCTTGCCCTGCCCGCGTCGTCGCCCCTGGCATGCACCACGGTGGTGCTGCCGACCGTTCCCGTGCTCTCTCTGAGAGCCGAGGACCCGAAGAGCTTGCGGCATCGGGGCGAATCACGACCTGAAGCCTAGAGCCCAGATCTCCTGGGGCACTTTCCGATCTAGATCGAGCACGCCCGTGGTGGAAGACGTGCGACGCCCGCATCAATGGTTTGGCCTTGCTCTTTCTTTTTGCCATTCATGGTTGAGGCGCCCGTCTTGCTGGCTTCAGGCGCCACCAGACCAGAGACACGGCACAACGAGGCAAAGAAGTTAGCATCCGCCGGGACGTCTGCCTTGCGCCTTTTCTCGCCGTCGGCTTGCCTCTGCGCAGCCTGGGGTCGTGTGCCTCCTCGGGGGTGCCCGTGGCCTCGTCGGCGTCCATCGGCGACGCGCGCAAGAGAATGGCGCAGGAAAGGGAGCGTCTTTTAACAAGGCGGGGGACATTCTACGACGGCAGGTGCCTTCCCAGTTCGAATCCCCACCCCGCTTCTGCTAAGCCTTCCTAGAGTCCTCGGGGCCCTCCTGCGAAGGCCCATGCCTTCTGAGAAGCCCCCCGCCTTCTTAGAAGGCCACTCCCCTCGCGCAACTTCCTTAGGCGCGCTATCAGTGGTTCGCGTCCAGGTGCTGCTTGCCCTGTCTACCTACCCCCTCTGAATACCTCTGGGTCTGCGCCCAGAGCAGCAACTCCTGAGGTATGCACGGCTGCTCGTAGCTGTCCTCGAAGTTGAGATGTTTCGCTCCCGCGCTCGCCCCCTGCTCGTAGACAGGCCCGTCGACATCTGCATGCCATCCTATCATTCAATGTGTTGCTCTTCTTCCTTCTGGAATTGTTGCCCTTGGTCACTGAGCCTAGGCAGGGTTACCGCCGAGAACTTGTGGTCAGCGTGTCGCGCCGCCAGTTCTGGCCCGCCACGCTCCAGCGCGACACGATTCCCAGCCCCCCGCCCTACAATGCGGAGCGACACGCTATCCGCTCGCAGGGCATAGCTCGTCGCCGGGGCCTCCGCCTGGGCACGCTAAGCAGAAGTTCCCGATCGTACTTTAGGGAGCACGTGGCCATCGATGATCACCACGTTGCTACAGATCCATGCTCCTTGCTCGCGCAGGTCCCCAACAAACTCAGCAGTGCGATTCCCTTCCCCTGCGCCGAGCAGCACCTGCATGACGTGCGGCACGACGTCGGCTCTGCTGCCGATCATCCTCAGCACCGGAGCGCCTGCCACATCATCGCGCACAGTGGCAAAGCTCGCTGACGGGGGCCCTTGGCGCCCACGGCCAGAGCCGAAGTGGCTGCGGGCGGCGATGATGTGGAGGAGGAGATTGCAGCAAAGGAGGAGGAGGAGGAGGAGGAGGAGGAGGAGGAGGAGGAGGAGGAGGAGGAGGAGGAGGAGAGGAGGAGGAGGCGGAGGAGGAGGAGGAGGAGGAGGAGGAGGAGGAGGGGGGCAGGAGAAAGCCAGGGTACGAGGCGGACTAGGATAGTTAGGAGAAGGCGATGAGCATCACGAAGAGCTTGGGGAGATGGTGGAGACGTCCCTCGGGGTCCTCCCCCTTGGGCACCCTCTGGCCCCGGGCGAGCCCCGTCTGGGCCTCTTCCGGGCCGTCGGTCGGCCGCGCAGGCGGGCTCGCCCTGGAGAGCATACGGAACTTCGGCGCGCTCGCCCTCCTGCGCCGCCTTCGTCCTCCTCGTCGCCATCTTCCTCCTCCTCAAATTACTCTTTTGTTAATTATTATTATTCTCCTCAATCCAAGCCCTCCTCCTCCTCCTCCTCTCACCTCCACCTATCGACCTCCAGCTTCCACCAGCTCAGTACCCTAACCCTCAGCATCTGGCATCCGATTTACCACTTCTTCCACTTATTGACCTCCATCCTGAATCAGCTCAGCATTCCGACATCCAGCATCCAGCATCCGACTATCCACTTCCACCCCAACCTGTCGACCGCCAACAACGACACCCAACCTTCACCAACCTGGCACTCCGACTCCAGCATCTGGTTTCCGACTCCCCACTTCCACCTGCACCTACCGACCTCCAGCATCAAGGACAATTTGCACTGAGGGCTCCGGCCCCCCCGCGCAGGCCCCAAAGGGCCCCGCTCCCGGCGGATCAGCGCGCTCGCCCCTCGGTCGCCCCTCCGTCCCCTTCCCTCCTCCGCCTTCTCCTCCTCGACCCGCCCGCTCCTCCCGGCCCCCATCGTGTTCCGGCTGCTCCCCCTCCCTCCCATCCTCCCCTTCCGCCTCGTTCCGCCTCGGCATCTCCGCCCACATCGACAGCGGCAAGACCACCCTCACAGAGCGGGTGCTCTTCTACACGGGCCGCATCAAGGCGATCCACGAGGTGCGCGGCAAGGACGGCGTCGGTGCGAAGATGGATCACATGGAGCTGGAGCGCGAGAAGGGAATCACGATCACGTCAGCAGCTACGTATTGCAGCTGGGGTCTTAATGGCACGGACCACCACCTGAACCTCATTGATACCCCAGGGCACGTCGATTTCACCATAGAGGTCGAACGAGCTCTCCGTGTTTTGGATGGCGCGGTCATGATCTGCTGCGGCGTCGGTGGTGTGCAGAGCCAGACCATCACCGTAGATAGGCAAATGAAGCGATATGAGGTGCCTCGGATCGTATTTATCAACAAGTTGGACCGGTACGGTGCCGACCCGCTGTTGATACTCAAGCAGATTCGCCAGAAGCTCGGCCTTACAGTGCAGCCGCTTCAGCTGCCCATCGGCGAGGAGGATAACTTCGCCGGAGTGTGCGAACTGATTACTAGAGAAGCCGTCTACTTCGAGGGCGACAACGGCCTCACCCGCCGCATTGCCGAGATACCCGCTGCGATGAGCGAGGACGTGGAGAAGTGGCGAGCGGAGCTGCTGGAGGTGCTCGCAGACCTCGACGACCAATTCGCCGAGGTGTACCTAGAGAGCGACGACGTGCCTGTGCAGGCCATCCACGATGCCGTGCGCCGCACGACGCTGGCGCGAACATTCTGCCCCATGCTCATGGGGACCGCGTACAAGAACAAAGGCGTTCAGAATCTGCTGGACGCGGTGTGTCGCTACCTTCCGTCACCCGTGGACAAGAAGAATTTGGCCCTGAACGCGGACGACGAGGACGAGGAGGTAGTGCTGAAGAGCACCTCGAACGCTCCGTTCGTCGGCTACGCGTTCAAGATCCAGGACCATCCCCAAGCCGGGCAGGTGACCTACATGCGCATCTACCAGGGGAAGGTCTCCAAGGGCGACAACATCGTGAACATGATGAACGGAAGGCGTCTCAGCGTGAAGAGGCTTGTCAGGATGCACTCCAACGACGTGAAGGATGTTAGCAGTGCGGAGGTCGGCGACATCATCGCGCTGGCTGGCGTCGAGTGCGAATCAGGTGCCACTTTCACTGACGGGAAGCAGAGAGTTACGTGCAGCTCCATGTTCGTGCCAGACGCGGTGATGTCATTATCGGTGTCCGCTGGCCGCGATGACCAGACGAGATTTCAGAAGGCCCTGAAGCGCTTCCAGCGCGAGGACCCAACATTCAGGGTCGAGGTGAAGCAGGACACGAACGAGACGATCATCTCAGGAATGGGCGAGCTGCATCTTGACATCTATTGCGAGCGAATGAGGCGACCCAGGGTCCAACTATGTACAGAATCGCTGTGCATCCCTCCCCCCCTCCCCCCCAGAAAGAGAAGAGGAAGACGATGTTGGAGGGGGAGAGCGGGAGGGAGGCGCTGCTGATTGTGTCCCACCCCTCCCCAAGGCGAGAGTTCAAGGTGGAGTCTCTCCAGACCGGGGAGCCGAAGGTGAACTACAGGGAGACCATCACGTCGCGGATTCCTTACGATCCCAGGGGCTCGGGCCACTCCGCCAGCCCCAAGGGTGGTGAGGAAGGTGGAGGAGGAGGAGGAGGAGGAGGAAGGATCAGGAGGAGGAGCAGGAGGAGGGAGGACTATGTGGAGGGAGGAGGAGGAGGAACAGGAGGAGGAAGAGGAGGAAGATGATGATGAGAAGGAGGAGGAGCAGGGAGGAGGAGGTGGAGGGAGGAGGAGGAGGAAGAGGACGAAAAGGAGGTGGAGTGAGAGAGAGAGGAGGAGGAGGACGAAAAGGAGGAGGAGGAGGAGGAGGACGGAGAGAGAAGGAGATTGGTTCGGTGGGTTTGGGCCGAATTCACCCTCCCGAAGCACACTGAAGAACCTCGGAACAAATGAACGGTTAGCCTCCAGAGGGCCTCCTGGAGATCGTCTTGGGGCCCGTTGACGGCCTCTTGGGACCGATAGGGCATTCGGAGGAGAGGTTTGGGCCGACAGTGAGCAGTGGAGCAGGGTGAGGAGTGACCAAATTCTTCACGCTTCGCGCATCCCCACCAGCCCATTCAGAAACCCTGCCCATGAGAGTTGACGGGAAAAGGGACAACGAGACACATACAGTGAAATAAAGCGGGCAACCAGAGAGATCTTTGGGAGCAAGGGGGCTGTTTGGGAGGGCCTCTTCCTGCCATCCCTGGTGCCCGCGTGGGGGCGAGGGAATGAGGATGAGGAGGTGGAGGAGGAGGATGAGGAGGAGGAGGAGGAGAAGGAGGATGGGGAGGAGGAGGAGGAGGAGGAGGAGGAGGAGGAGGAGGAGCACAACGGGGACGAGGAGGTAGTCCTCAAAACCGCCTATTGGAGTCCTCTTGGGGCTTTTTGGGGGGAGGCGGGGGGCCCTCTTGGGGCTCTCTTGGGGCCCTCCTTGGGTTGGGAGACCTGGAGGGCCTCCTGGGGCCATCACGGAGGCTATCTGTGAAAGGGGGGGGGTCCCCGATCTAGCACTCCCTCTCAGGGCCCTCAAACCATCTGTGGGGGCCCTCTTGGGGCGCTCTTGGGGCCGTCCAGGGGCCTCTTGGGCCCCTCTTGGGGCTCTCTTGGGGCCATCATGTGGCCTCGTGAGCCCATCGGACGCGAAAAGGTGAGACGACACAAATCATTGACTTTCCGAAGGTTTTGAAGAAAGGATTGTGGCATCTTTGGGGGGTCCTCGGAGGGCTCCGAGAGCACTTGGAGCCGTTTTGCGGCCCTCGTGGGGCCTCTTGGAGGTATGTCGGAATCTATCTTGAACCATCTTCCGCTATGTTGAGCCACCTTGGATGCCATCTTGGAGCATTGGAGGCCCTCTTGAAGCTGTCTTGGGCCATCTTGGACGCTCTAGCCGATCGCGGCCCGCCCAAAGAAACATCAGGGAGTCGGTAGACCGGAGGGGTGGATGCGGCCTGATGGCGCGCCCTCCCGCTGCCTCAAATGCGGCAGTGCGTGGCCGCGTGGCTCAGCACGGCCGCTGCCGAGGGCAGAGGCGGGAGACGAGAGAAGGATGAGAAGGAGGAGGGATATGAGTATGATGATGCTGACGATCCGCCCCCTCACCCATCTGTATTTGCGACCCCTCCCCGCCAGTTGGGGGTGGCCAGCGGCTTACACGCACAAGCGGCAGTCGGGAGGGCGCGGCCAGTACGGTAAGATCATCGGCTATGTGGAGCCCGTCCCGGAGGAAGAGCGTAAGGACACCGACAGTATCGAGTTCTTGAGCAGGCTGAGCGGGGACGACATCCCCCCGAACTACGTCCCCGCCATCGAGAAGGGTTTCCGCATGTGCACCCAGAAAGGCCTGCTGACTGGGAACCCCGTCATCCAGATGCGGTGCGTGCTCGAGGATGGGGCCGCACACGAGGTGGACTCCTCCGCCGAGGCATTCCAGGCGGCGGCGGCGGGCGCCTTCCAGCAGGTCTACAAAGACGCTGGGCCCGTGGTGCTCGAGCCCCTCATGGCCGTGGAGGTTCGTTCAGAGGAGGAAAAGGTGCCGATACAGCTACCCTTGTAAGTTGGGTCGGAGGGCAAAGGTTGAACCGATGGCGTTTTCTCTTAGACTTTTGAAGAAAAACTCTAGGCCAGTTCCGGGACAGTTTTGGTATGCGTGTGTATATGTGCACACCGAGATATACATATATATATATATATATATATCAGCGTGGGGGGCCGAACGGTCATCCATTGTCCCTGGGTGCGTGGCAGAAGTGGGAATCCGTGGTGAGGATTCTGCTTGTTGCGTTGTTGTTGCTGCTGTTGTTGTTGATAGTGTTGTTGTTGTTGTTGTTGCTGCTGTTGGTAGTGTTGTTGTTGTTGATGCTGTTGTTGTTATTGTTGTTGTGGCTGCTGTTGTTGTTGTTGTTGTTGCTGTTACTGTCGTTGTTGCTGCTGGTATTGTTGTTGTAGTTGTTGTTGTTGTTGCTGTTGCTGTTGTTGTTGTTGTTGTTGGTGGTGGTGGTGGTGGTGGTGTTGTTGTTGTTGTTGTTGTTGTTGTTGTTGTTGTTGTGTTTGTTGTTTGTTGTTTGTTGTTTGTTGTTTGTTGTTGTTTGTTGTCGTCATCCCACCCGCGACCCACCCCGCGACCCACCCGCGACCCACCCCGCGACCCACCCGCGACTCACCCGCGACCCACCCAGCGACCACCCCGCGGACCACCTGCGACCCACCCGCGACCCACCCGCGACCATCCCGCGACCCACCGTCGACCCACCTGCCACCCAACCCGTGATCCACCCACATTGTTTTAACAAAGAAATCGGTTCTTGCGGCGGGCTCGTTTTTTTAATGGAAAACTTCTGCGCCTGCGGCGGGCTTCTTCAGAGCCTCGCAGGCTGCCGATGTCCTTGTGTGCGTCGCTACAGTGAGAATCCGTGGTGAGGATTCTGCTTGTTGCGGTGCTGTTGTTTGTTGTCGTTGTCCCACCTCGCTCCAAGAAGTCCCCAAGAGTCCAACAGGTCTCCCCAGAGGACCCCGAGGAGGGAACATGTTGTTTTCCATTGTGGTTGTTCTATGTTTTTGCCTTCTCGCCCTTTCGCCTTCCCGAACCATCCTGTGGTGTTGGGTCCTCGTTTTGAAGAAACGGTGCCCCGCGTCTCCTTCCTTCCTCCTCCCCCTCCTCACTCCTTCCCCATCCTGGCTTTTGCTTTCCGCATGTCTCTGTTTCGGCACACCCCTCACACGTTTCGTGGCCCCATAGGGAGCTCCACCTAAGGTCCCAGTGGCGGAACTCGCATGGCGCCGCCGCCCCATTTTGGCACACCCCTCACACGCGTCGTGGCCCTATAGGGAGCTCCACCTAAGGTCCCAGTGGCGGAACTCGCATGGCGCCGCCGCCCCATTTTGGCACACCCCTCACACGTTTCGTGGCACCATAGGGAGCTCCACCTACGGTCCCACTTGCGAAACTCGCATGGCGCCGCCGCCCCATTTTGGCACACCCCTCACACGCTTCGTGGCCCCATAGGGAGCTCCACCGAAGGTCCCAGTGGCGGAACTCGCATGGCGCCGCCGCCCCATTTTGGCACACCCCTCACACGTTTCGTGGCCCCATAGGGAGCTCCACCTAAGGTCCCAGTGGCGGAACTCGCATGGCGCCGCCGCCCCATTTTGGCACACCCCTCACACGTTTCGTGGCCCCATAGGGAGCTCCACCTGAGGTCCCAGTGGCGGAACTCGCATGGCGCCGCCGCCCCATTTTGGCACACCCCTCACACGTTTCGTGGCCCCATAGGGAGTTCCACCTAAGGTCCCAGTGGCGGAACTCGCATGGCGCTGCCGCCCCATTTTGGCACACCCCTCACACGCGTCGTGGCCCTATAGGGAGCTCCACCGAAGGCCCCCGTGGCGGAACTCGCATGGCGCCGCCGCCCCATTTTGGCACACCCCTCACACGTTTCGTGGCCCCATAGGGAGCTCCACCTAAGGTCACAGTGGCGGAACTCCGCGAGTTATCCGCGAGGCTTGACCTGAGGAGCGGCCCGCCCGAGACTCGCCGTCTCTCGACGGTCTGACTGTTTGGCCTCGCGCCGCGGGCGATCCGCGCGCGTCGCTGGGACCCTCTCGGGGCGACCAGCGCGCGTCGCGGGAATTCCGCGCTGCGCTCTGCCCAGAGCCTCGCTCGCCCCCGTCGTCGCTCTGCCCAGCGGCCACAGTCTTGCCCGCTATCACCCAGCCAGCTAGCACTCTCTCTGCTCCGCGCAGCGGACGACCCGCGCGCGTCGCCGGGACCCCTTCGGGGCGACCAGCGTGCGTCGCGGGGACTCAGTGCGGCGCCGCGCCCGCAGCCATGGACATCGGCGTGCACGGGCAAAGAGGCAGAACAAGAAGGGGAAGGAAGCGGGCGCGATCCTCGTGAGGGGCGTGCCGACATGGGCGTCGACATTGACGCACGTAGACTGATTCGCACGCAGACACATTCACAATCAGACTTACTCGCGCTCAGGCTCACCCGGTCTCAGTCTCGCGCACTCAGAGCGATCGTCTTTGTTCGTATTGGGGACCCCGCCACGCATTTCGGCACGCCCCCTCACACGGTTCGTGGCCCCATAGGGAGCGCGAGCGAAGATGAGATCCACAATCGCGGTATTCACAACTGCATATGGTTGGGTCCTTCGCCAGGCTAATTCTATGTTTTTTGGCCTTCTCGCCCTTTCGCCTTCCCGACGCTCCAAGACGACCCAACGGGCCCGCCAGGACACCCCAAGACGGCCCCAGAGGCCCCAGAGACACTCCCCAGACGGCCCAAGAGACACCCAAGACAGCCCAAGAGGACTCCAAGGCGGCCCCAAAAGGGGCCCTAGAGGACGACCAAACATTCAAAAACCAGTTTTCCGCCCCGAGAGGGCCCCAGGACAAATACAGGCCCCCACAGATCCCCAAGAGACCCCCAAGAGCCCCCATGGAGCCTTCAGGCCAACACAAGCCGAGGAGGCCCCGCCCCACCCGCGCGAGGCCTTGCGTCGCCCCCATGTTCCGGACAAGGCTTTCCGGAACATTGGAAAAGGATCATGCGCCGCCGACGACGACGACGATCGCGCAAGGTACAGAGGGCAGGGGTCCAGGGTCCAGGGTGCGAGCGAATAGGGCGCATGAACGCACGAGAATGATCAGAGCCCCCCCCATGTTCCGGAAACGCGCTTCTGGAACATGGGGTAGGTGAAGACCCCGCTGCCCTCGTGCCCTCCCCCTCTCAGCGCCCAGGCCGTGCCCACAACTAGAACCTGAGCGCGCGCGAAGCGTGCGCGAAGGTTCTAGTACATTTACACCTATTTGTATACTATACACAAATATGTTCACACATACCTAAATGTACACACGTCTCTATGCATCTGTACGTATATGACAACACATGCCTATATGTTCACTCATACCTATATGTACATTTTCAAGTATGTTATATTGCGTGTGTACATACACGCACTTACACAGTAATATACATATATAAATATACACGCATGCGCATACACATACACAGACCTGTAGTTGATGTTGAATCACGGATATGGCAGTGTCTCTTGCCTCATATGTGCGCGAGGTCACACGTACATCATAGACACCGCCCATTTGCTACTTGACTTGGTTCTTGCGTGTGTACATATATATACATGTATGTACATATATATATATATATATGTATGCGCAGCCCCCCCCCCCCAGCACCCATTCATTTTGCATCGGTCGTTGAACGGTTCACTCTCTTTCTCTCTCTCTTTCTCCCTCTCTCTCTCTGTACTTCTCTTTGGTTCACAGGAGGAGGAGGAGGAGGAGGAGGAGGAGGAGGAGGAGGAGGAGGAGGGGGGGAGACAGAAACGAAGGGGGACAGAGGAAGAGAGAGAGTGAGAGAGAAAGAGAGAGAGAGAGAGAGAGACAAATCTCTCTCTTCCCCTCCCACACACTTTCTCTCTGCTTATAGAAGGAGGAGGGGGAGGAGGAGGAGGAGGAGGAGGAGGAGGAGGAGGAGGAGAAGGGGGGAGACAGAGACGGAGGGGGACAGCGAGAGAGAGAGAGAGAGGGAGAGACTCGAGGGAGCGGCGATCCCTTTGAAATCACCATGTTTGCGAAGCTTGGGGGCACCAAACCCTTTTATGTCATTGGGATGTTTGGGATTTCTGGGTCAAGAATCCCAGAACCCCTTTGATTTCATTGGGATGTTTGGTATGTTTGGGATTTTCAATCCTCCAGTCCTGGGGAGCCCCGTCGTCGTTTGTTTTTTTGTCTCTGGGACTGAAAATAAAAAAAAATCCAAACATCCCAATGACATCACAAGGGTTCTGGGATTCTTGACAGAGAAATCCCAAACATGCCAATGAAATAACAGGGCTTGGTGCCCCCAGGCTTTGCAAACATTGTGATTTCACAGGGGTCGCCGCTCCCTCGAGTCTCCCCCCCTCTCTCTCTCGTTCTCTCTCTCTCTCTCTCTCGCTCTCCCTCCCTCCCTCCCTCCCTCCCTCCCTCCCTCACACACACGCACACTCTCTCTCTCTCTGACTCTGCTTCAGAGAAGGAGGAGGAGGAGGAGGAGGAGGAGGAGGAGGAGGAGGAGGAGGAGGAGGAGAAGGGGGAGACAGAGACGGAGGGGGACAGCGAGAGAGAGAGTGAGAGAGAGAGGGAGAGACTCGAGGGAGCGGCGATCCATGTGAAATCACAATGTTTGCGAAGCCTGGGGGCACCAAACCCTGTTCTTTCATTGGGATGTTTGGGATTTCTGGGTCAAGAATCCCAGAACCCCTTTGATTTCAGTTGGATTTTTGGGATTTGGGGGGTTTTCAATCCTCCAGTCCTGGGGAGCCCCGTCGTCGTTTGTGTTTTTTTTCTCTGGGACTGAAAATCCCCAACATCCAAAAAAATCCAAATGAAATCGCATGGGTTCTGGGATTCTTGACCCAGAAACCCCAAACATGCCAATGCAATAACAGGGCTTGGTGCCCCCAGGCTTCGCAAACATTGTGATTTCACATGGATCGCCGCTCC